CAATTTCGGGATTTTGATGTTAAATTGGATATTTTCGAGTGGACTTCGCTCCCTTAGCATATTTTAATGATTATGTATTGATTGTGGCTAGATTTGGAGCATCCGGAGGTCGATTCACTCGGGCGAGGCATCGCGGGCTAGAGTTCGGACCGGATCGAGGTGAGTAATGATTGTAAATGATGCTCTGAGGGTTTGAAACCCCGGATTGCACATCGTTGTGCTATATTGAGTNTGAGGTGAGGCACACGCTTGATGACGAGCGTGGGGTCGTGTACTATTGGGGATTGTGACTTGGTCCGTCCCGATTGATGATTTTACCGCGTATTTGATTGAAAACTATTTGCTACCATCATTATTTAGGCTAAATGTCATATTTGGGCCTAGTGCCAGCTATTTGAACCCTACGGGGATTTTTGTTGATATTTCCTCACTGTTTTGACTTTATACTTGAACTCAGTCATGTTATTTTCCACTGTTATCAAAATTCAGCCAAGTTTATTTTGCTTTAACACCTGAAATGATATTTCAAATAATATTTTGGGTTAAGCATCATTTTTTACTGTTACCCGAGTGGCTTATGTGATTTTTGACTAAGTAAGACCGAGGGCCTGTATTGTGAGGATACTTTTGGGTCGGGCTGCACGCCGCAACAGTGAGATACTTATTTGATTATGAGGCCGAGGGCTTGAGATATGTACGCCACGAGGTGGCTTGTTGATATTGATATGAGGCCGAGAGCCTGTTTTTGATGCCACGAGGTGGCTTGACATTGCGCTTGGGCTGTAAGGGCCCCTCTAGGAGTCTGTACACCCCCAGTGAGCGCGGGTACCCATTGTGATGTGAGATATAGCCCGGGGGCTGATATTGTTCTATGTGATAGCCTGATGGGCTGTATTGTTCTATGTGATTGCCCGAGGGGCTGGTACCGTTCTATGTGATTGCCCGAAGGGCTGGTATTGTTCTGAGATATTGCCCGAGGGGCGGAGTTGTTGACATTGTGCCCGAGGGGCGAACCTTTATGTGTTTATCTTTCATATTTACCTGTCATTTACCTGTTAAACTATGGTATTTGTGCTCGAGGGGCGGATTTCTGTGCTTATCTGCACTAACTGTTTTGCATTCATTTGCGTAACTGTTGAAAAAGTCGTTTTCAAAGAAGTTTAAACTGAGCTAAGATGTTTTAAAAGATTTTTACAGCTTCACTGCTTTCTTACTGGTTTTGAACTGCTTCTATACAACATCTTGATATGCTTTACGTGATTTCTTACCATTCAAGCTTTAGTTATGATTATTACTCACTGAATTGGAGTACTCACTTTACTCCCTGCACCTTGTGTGCAGATCCAGGTATTTATACACCTGGTAGCGGGTTTTGGTTGATCGGAGGCAAAGTCAGCGGAGTTTAGCAAGGTAGCTGCCGGCGTTCGCAACAATGCTTTTCTCTCTCTTCATTTCATTAGTTTGTATTTGTACACTTCAGACTTTCAGTTGTAGTTATACCCTAGTAGATGCTCGTCACTTGTGCACCTCAGTTAGGGCTGTGTCGGATTGTATTTTCGCTACTTATTATCATTAAATCATGTTTAAACTGCTTTTATATTGTTTAACTGTTTTAAAAGGTGAATTAGGTTTAATTGACTGGCCTTGTCTTCATGAGAGGCGTCATCACGACCGGGTTCGGGGTTAGGGTCATGACAATAAGAAGTATTTTCTTCCATAACTACAATAATGTGTTTAAGTAAGCTTAACTTTTTGTTGCCATGATTTAAATGAACAACAAATTAGGAAATAATATAGAAGAGAAATACGTTTTCAAAGAGATAATTTAATGATCAAATCTCATAATTCGAACTGTACTGTATTATTGGAATCTCAACGACATATCAATCGCTTTTGGTAAGGCTATAAGAGTAGCGAATACTATAGACCGTAAGTCACAAGCTCAGACAAAAAAACAATACTCCTTGTTTGCATAAGCTACGTGAAAGCTGCTTGCATGAGCCAATGCAAGTTAAATATTTTAAAAGTATTCATATCTTGTTAAGCTTCCTGTCCAATCAAATAATTTCACGTAAATTGAAACGAAGGGAGTAATATTATAGTTGACAAATATATAAGAAGGTCCTACTATCCATCAAATTTCAAACTATGCAGAATTGGCTCTTGAAATTTCTCATTATAAAAAAGAAAAAGAAAAGTGGGGGAAATGGGAAAAGAATAATACCCCCTGAAATCCCGTAGGAATCCAAACACGGCGTTATATAGACCGTCAATATAAATGTGAAGCTAAGCAGCTAGGTTTTCTGAGAGAGAGTAAGCGCGAGGGAGGGAGGGAGCAGAAGAGCTTAAATTGCGTTGCGTTGCGTTGCGTTGCGTTGCGTTGCTAAGGCATTTCTCTCTCTAACTCTCTTTCCTTATTGCTGCGCAATCCATAATAATGAGCAACACTAAGGACAACTTCAATGTTGCTGATCTCACTGCTGGTAAGAACCCCTTATCCACTTTACTTCTATGTTAGATATCTGGGTTTCAATAAAAGCTTAAAATTTTGAATACTAGTTACTTATTTATCTGTTTCTCTGTAAGAAGCTTAATTTTTTTATGTATATACTATTTTTGATATCTGGCTCTCTGTAAATGTTAAGACTCCCACATCGGATATGTTTTCTTGTATGGTCTTAGGCAATCTTCACCTTAAAAGCTAGCTTTTGGGATTGAGTTATGTCCAAGATTCATTTTCTTATCAGTAAAAGCTTAAATATTTATGTACAAAAAAAAGCTTAAATTTTTATGGGGTTTAGTACTAGTTATTTATGTGGGTCTCGGTAAAAAAGGTTAAACTTTAAATGGGGTTTGAATTTACCTAATTGATAATGTTTTGTGTAGCTTTGAATGCTGGGGACCGAGCAGACCTTGTCAATGTGCTCAAAGTGAGTTCTTTTCTTGTTCTTCCTTTGATCTTTCGAGCTTGTTTATATGTTTAGGTGTAATATGTGTTGTAAATTTAGGTAACTTGGGCTGACTTTGCGGTTTGTTTCTGCAGAATAAACTTCATGATCTTACTGGGAAGCACTCAAACGTGACTGAAAGTTTGTCCCCGAATGTGAGAAAACGTGTTGAAGCTCTGAGGGAGATTCAGGCATGTACTAATTGCTGTTTAAATTTTTTTCGATGTCTCTTAGCTGTTTCTGCAAACCATGCCAATTTTTTTAAATCAAGTTTCTAAGCATTCATTGTTTTAAATATGATGTCAAGACCTTGAAGTAAATTAGGATGTATTTAGCTGCTTGGAGAGCATTTTATTATTTAATGATGTTATAAGGTAGTTGTGGCTCTGGTTCAAGACCCATTGTCATTGTAGAACTGTTACTGAACGAGAAGATCTTCATTTGGTTTTTGCACAACTTGTTTACTCTTTGACATTTGGATTTTCATATGTGGTACATGATATAGCCTGATTGCTTATTTATTTGAACAAGCATCCATGAAATGCCATCTATCGTTGAATGTTTTATTTCTGATGTTACACCAAATATCTCTTTTGTTCTTTGTGTTGTTGAGTGAAACACAAGTTTTGCATCTTATTGTGAAGTGGAGATATTAAGCAAGTCCGATGGTTTCTAGTATTACCATTGGGTTTAAAGTAAACACTGTACAGCTTTCTCTTAAAATAAGACTTTGTATTGTCTTATGGGTGTATATTTGTCTACATTGCAGAAAATATGGATCACTAGTAGTAGTCAGCAGTGTCTATTGTTTGCTTTAGTACTTCCTTGATTTACTGTATTTAATGTGCGTCGGTTTACTTGTTTAACATTAAGTTAAATTTTGATACACTGTATGCAATGTTGCCTTTCGTTTTTTCTTTAGGCTTTCCTTTGTATGATTTTTTGTATTTGTGACCTTGGTGATGAGTTCTTCCTCTTTCTTAATTGTGCAGACTGAACATGACGAATTGGAGGCAAAATTTTTTGAAGAGAGAGCTGCACTTGAAGCCAAATACCAGAAGTTGTATCAGCCACTATACACAAAGGTCTGTGGATACATTTAGCACTAGTACAATGTATGCATTGATTTTATGGTATGGTGATGTATAACTAATGTTGTTAACTACACATTCGCAGAGATTTGAAATTGTGAATGGGGTTGTTGAAGTTGATGGGGCTACAACTGAGGCTGCAGCAGCAGACAAGCAGGAGGATAAAGATGCAGTGGGTATGTTAAATATCAATCTTGAGTTGATTGTTGCTATAGTACGATAAATATTAATGAAATTGGCTCTTAATAGAGAAAGGAGTCCCTGATTTTTGGCTCACTGCTATGAAGAATAACGAAGTGCTTGCTGAGGAGGTAATTATTGGTTTAGGTGCTTTAAACTAGTTCGCAGAACAGTTTGGTTACCTGTCAGTCCACTTATGTCAATCTGGTCTATTCTGTAAGTACAGATTACCGAGCGAGATGAAGAAGCTCTCAAATTCCTCAGGGATATAAAGTGGTCGAGGATTGATGATCCGAAGGGTTTTAAGCTTGACTTTTTCTTTGAGACTAATCCTTACTTCAAGAACTCTGTGCTGACCAAAACATATCACATGATTGATGAAGATGAACCAATCTTGGAGAAGGCAATTGCGTATGTCATCACCACCTCATAACCTGCAAAGCAGAGTTTTTTATTGATTTTAATGTGATTATTTTCTGCCAGTGGTTACTCATGATTTGCTCCACCATCTGTAGGACTGAGATAGAATGGTATCCAGGAAAATGCTTGACACAAAAGATTCTAAAAAAGAAGCCGAAGAAGGGGTCAAAGAATGCCAAGCCTATCACTAAAACGGAACAATGTGAAAGTTTCTTCAACTTCTTTAGTCCACCTCAAGTGCCAGAGGACGAAGAGGATATTGATGAAGATGCTGTAAGTTACTGCTATATTTTCTTTATACCATTTCTCTTTTGAGTTCAATTTAATATATATAACTATTTCCTTTTACTTCTTGTGACAGGCTGAAGAACTTCAGAATTTGATGGAACAAGACTATGATATTGGGTAAGTCTTATCTGACATCAATTTCACAGAGACATTTTCATCTGTGGGAGAATATAGCACCACCCATGGTTTAAGTTATGACTGAAAGCAGATGTGATCTTTGTTTTTTGCTCCTGATTGTCTATGAAGGTCAACAATCCGAGATAAAATCATTCCACATGCAGTGTCATGGTTCACTGGGGAAGCTGCTGAGGATGATTATGCTGAGTTGGAAGATGACGAGGATGAAGATGATGATGAAGAGGATGATGAGGACGAGGACGAGGAAGAGGAGGATGAAGAAGATGATGAGGACGAAGAGGAGGATGAGGATGAGACTAAGACCAAGAAGAAGGTACTTACTTTAACTTTTCTTGGTTCATCTTTTGGAGTTTTAAATGATTAGGAAAGTTAACACCTTTTCTCCATTGTTTGCAACGTCACTGCAGACATCTGCTGTGCCCAAGGTATGATCCACAATCTCATGTCTGTTCCTGAAGTTGTCTAAGATTTTTTGTTAGGCGTACCTAATTGTTGATATTCCATCATTACAGAAGAGCGGAAGAGTACCTGCAGCAGCAGATGGTCAGTCCGGCGAGAGGCCACCAGAGTGCAAGCAACAGTAGGCTCTTATTGAGACTGATTCAATGTGATGAGAAGATTGTGCAATATGGTTGGCTTTTGTTATATAAGGAATTATGCTAGAACAATCTGTCAGAATCATTTTCTTCTTCTATTCATTCCATCTTTTTTTGCCTTTTCTTTTTTCAATTTTTGAGGGAGATAGAATGTGTGATGATAAGAGTCAGACCTGTTTTGTGATTCTTTAAATGTTTCTTTGAATTGGAGAGCTCAAATTTTGCTAAAAGGTTTATTTGATAATTCAGGGAATGGTTTGTACAACTTTCTTGGTTTTATTTAGGAGATTAAAATCTTAATAAAACTCGTTCAAAAACGTCAAATTGATTAAGCAGAAGCTCAAATAGACATATAATCTAACTAAGCTGTAATGTCGAGTCAAATTTAAATGTCAGTACTCATTTCTTTTACAACATTTTATTATATACGCTAAAGATACATATGATGAGTGAGCTTAAAACTTTTTAACGTATTCTCACCTATGTCTCTAAAATATTTCTTAGCTATCCACCAGTTGTCAAAATTACTTCATATAAGCACTTATGGTGTAAAAAAAAAAGCACTTATGGTGTACGAGGCTGAAAAATATAATTAATATCAACCACGCAACCATTTTCACTAGATAAATCATTGTCTAAGCACCTATTTCATTGAAAAGACGGTCATTAGTGTGGCTTCAGACAATTGTTCTAAATAATCAATCTGAAGTTCCTAAGCAGATCAGATGACTATACGAGGGTGAACTCCTTACTATTTTAAAAGGCGATAGCGTGAGGCAGGGCGTTTTATTTGATACGAAACAAGGTGTAACCTCGAGACATAAGGCGTAAGCACATATCTTTAAATTGTTTAATTCATAATAGTATAATAACACAAAATAATATAAAAAGTACATTAGAAGTTCAAGAAAATAAAAAATTAAAGAAAACAAGATAGCTAGCATATTTTTACAAGTATAAACAATGTAATAGTATCAAAGTTACTATGAAATATAAATTATAACATCTTAACTTTAAAATAATTAAAAATCACACTTTGTTAAAAATTATTATCAATGGAAAAGGGTCAAAACTACTCCTAACCTATTCGCTTTGGTTTAAAAATACCCCTTATTCACCTATTTTGTTAAAATTGTCTTCATCGTTAAAAATCTAGCTCATTCATGCCCTGGAAACTAACGACCCTATTATTATTAAGAAAAAGTTTTATTACTTATTACGTGTCAATTTTCTATTGGCTTAAATTAAAACCTCACCCCACTTCCACTTATTAGGCCATCCGATGACCAAAATTATCCATACCCGGCCATGACCCGCTTTTTCAAATGACATAACTTCATCTCTCAGCTTCTCCTCTTCCATCCATGTCCTCCCACTCCACATTTTCTCTAATCATCCTCCTCCAAGGCTAAAGTACAATAACTCACCATTGCCGATAGAGGACCACCATCAGCTTCAACTTTCAGATCTTCATTCTTCAACATCCACGGATCTCCACTCAGATTTTTTGGCCTTAATTTAACTTTTAAATTAATATTTTTTTTTGTAAAATCAATTTTCTAAGTGAAATATGGTATTCTTTGGAATTAAGTTAATAGTTCATTTTAAGATATTATGGTTTAATAAGTTATTTTTCTGCCAAAGTTATAATTGTTGTGCCACCATATAGCTTTTTTGAGTTAATTGAAATCATGTGAGCAAATTAGCTTCACAGTTCGTCGGCGATTATTTGGTTGGGAAATTGTCGGCGGTGACTAAGTTGGGGAAGAAGAACATGGAAAGGAATAGGGCACCAAATAATAAATTACAAACAAAAAGAAAAAATATGAAATTTTGACAAATGAAACCTAAATAACGATTAGATCATGAGTTTGGGTTAGGAATCGAGTGTTTGAGGGGCTAAAAAGGGTTTAACCGGCTGGAACGATTAAGATGGGTCGTGAGTAGGTTACTAGATCAGATTTGGTTTAGAGTGGAATTTTTAATTTGACCAATAAGCAATTGTCACGTCATATATAATAAAATATTTTTTTTTCCAACAAAGGTCAGTCAGAAATAAGGGCATGAAATGGACCAGATTTTTAACGGTGAGGTCAGTTTTAACACAATAAGTGGACGACAGGTTTTTTTAAACCAATGCGAATAAGTTAGGGGTAGTTTTTGCCCTTTTTCATATTATGAAACTACATATTTTACATCTTCAAAATAAATATTCAAAAAGTTCTATCGGTGCTATAATTTAAAAAATTATTCCCTCATAAGTAAATAGAAAATTGCTCTTAAATAGCAAAATAATAAAAGTGTGATAATTTTAAGAGTCATAGAACTACGACATGAAGATCTAACAAGTACATATATAAATTTTGGCTATTTATTTTCAGAAGAAATATTCAAATGATATTCACCCTCATAATGTTCTCAACTAGTAAATAGGTATTACTATAGTTAGTTATTTGAGTTATTCTCAATTTTTATAATTCTATAGAGAATAGAACTTTAATCATTCATTTATTATAGAACTTTGAGAATCACGAGTGCTACATAGTAAATTAATACATAATTTGCACAGGAATTGTTGGGCAAGCCCCAAACGTTTTGCGTTAGGCATATTTAGGGCGCACAATCGGGAGTTTGGTAACGTAAACCTCACAGGACTAAGCTCCACACATAAGCCTTGATATTTGGCTAAAAATACATTTAATATAATGATAATTGCCTCACATCTTAATATAATAATAGTGATAATTAGAGTGTATTGTGAAGTTTTGAGCATAATTGTGTTATTTACTTGTGTAGGAAGCATATGGAATGAAAAAAGAACAAGTTAGAGCGAGAATTGAAGAAATATTAGCGTAGTATGAATTCAGTGCCTAGGCCACCATTTGGTGATGCATGTGACGCCAAACACTTGGAGAATTTTAGGGACGAAAGTTCAGCGTCCAGGTCACTGCCAGTCAGTGCCTGTGGTACTGAAATCTAAGGGTTTGCAGAATTCGCCATCCAGGTCAACGTATGACGGTGCCTATAGAGTCGGGTCCGGTAAAGTTATCTAAGCGTGATTAGGAGAGAGTTTTTAGTGTCCTAGACCCCTCCCCCAAAACATATACACGACACATAACCTAATTTTTGAAGGATGGTTCGACTTTGGAGAGCAAGGAGTCGCCATGGAGGTAAGATTTCATCTTTTCTTCCGTCAAATTTAATAATTTATTTTTGGATAATTGATTGTTTGGCTACCATGTATACGTCGAGCAAAACTTCACGTTCTAGGATTTTGGTTCTTTCATGACTATTGTTGTTTGAATATTGATTTTTTTAATTTATCATATTAGTTTATTTATTCAATCATGCGTTTAATTATTTAGTTTCTTGACTACCGGTTGAATATCTACAAATCTAGGGTTGAATTCGGGAGACGGTTATAGATTGCAAATAGGATTGAGTAGAGCTTGTTTCTCAACACGTGGCTCGGATAATATTTTCGCAGTTAGGACAGGAATATACTTAACAACCTCTCTTAGTTGAATGCCGAATTTTATTCGTTCAAGATAAATTCAATACCATATGAATATAGGGTTGATATGTTATGGATATGCAGATAGTACTGTGGGAACATGCTATTTATATAAACCATTTGGCCGATTAGTATAGATATAGCCGTCAATATGAGCTTGGACCGTAATTTAACAGGGTTGGGCTAGAGTTTTGGAGCCCATTTAAAAATGAGGCTTTTAAGTCCAGCCCGAGTAAGCCCATGACCCGTGAGGCTTGACTAAGGCTGAGCTGGGCCAACCCGTGGGCCTAATAAAAATATTTTTTAAAAATATATAAAATATAAAAAGCATATTGCCTCTAGCGATGGAAAGTCAGAATTGGATCTTTACTTAGATGAACCAAAGCTTGATATTGAGAAGTTCCAAGAGATGGATGTTGCCATGTATTAGAAGGACCATTCTAGAAAATATCCCGATCCTTCAGTGATGGCGCGTGATATACTTAGTATTCCTATTACCACTGTAGCATCGGAGTTACATTTAGCATTGATGGCGTGTTCTGACAAAGTACAAATGTTGCATCCATCATGAAAATGCCAAACACTTGTTACTACTCGAAATTGGCTGCACGACTTTTCCCAAACTCGAACTGGGAATATTTATGTGAATTTGAATAATATTAGTTTTTAAAATTTAATTATTTTTAATATTTAATTAATTAATATTGCATATGAACTGTAGATGTAGATGAAAGTGATGATGTTAAGACAACCTTGTCATAAGCGGATCAAAATGTGTTTGATGAAGATGATGTGTTGGATATCCCATAAGCGTCATGGAGGTTCCCTTGAATAGTTTGTTTTGACTTTTGACTCTTAGTGAATTAAATATAGTCTTGTCTTTTACTTTTTTAGTGTTTATTGTGATATGTTGGAACAGTATAAAAAGTTATTAAGTCTTACGAAATTTTTCCATAAGATGTTTTTAAACTTTTAATATTGATATTTTTTTAGGTTAGAACTTAAAAAAAATTATAAAATTATATTTTTAAAAATGATGGGCCGGCCAAACAGGTTTAGCATTATAAGGCCCATCAAAATGGTGGGCTCCCAGCCCAACTCATAAATTGCTAAAGCCTACGTGGGCTAGGTTGGGCTAACCCGACCCATATTGACAGCTCTAAGTATAGATTAAGAAGTTGAATCAGTTGAAGAATACAATATGATTAGTAAAATCTTCTTTTCTTTTGTTTGGAATTCATTAGTTATTTTTTATTTTAATTATTATAGAATCAAATTACTTTTAATTCTTGTTTAGATAATTAAGATAGTTTAATTTAGTTAAAATTGATAACAAGTTTCTGTGAGTTCGACATCTGACTTTCGAGTCACTTTACTACTTGACGACCACGTATACTTGTGTGTACTTGAGGGACCAACAAGCCTCAAGGCATTTTAATAGTTCCCTGCCCTGGGGCGAGCGCCAAAACGAGTCTCAAAAATCCTTTTTAAAACACTGGACTCCTATACTATAATAAGAGATGCGAAATGAACAAAGAGAGAAAAAGAATTATCCATACAGGCTTACAGAAGGGGCACATACTTTTGGTTCCTCACCTTAGGATTCACATTGCAAAAAGGAAGGAGAAAGAGAGAAATGTTACGATCAAGTCCATGACATGTATTGTGCACCTTTGGCCAACCTGCCTCATATATTTGTCCTTTGGGCTATGTTATCATCGGTCTCAAAACACGTATATTATGTGAACTTTTGTCATCCCTTATAAAGCTTTCACTTTTCTCTTCAATTCTCATATCAGATTCGTCTAAAATAATATGTGCACCCTTTCTTTAAAAACTTGTGACTCTAGAAACTTGCCCGTCATGCTTGTCTAGCCCTCGTTGGCCCCTTCCGTAATGGGCGTCAAGAAGGAGAGAGAACACATCTACAAAAGACCATTTATAGACGATGCACCCCTAGGGAACAATAAAAAGGATGGACTCAATATTTCACATTCTCTACACCTTATAACTTGTACCCAAAGACAAGTCAACACGCACAATACTATTGGTGAGATTCTGATCGTAGTCCTCATACTGTTGTGTCATATCTTATTTTGCACATCCTTATTTTTTCGTCCTTTTGGGTACATGTTACAAAACTCATTTTTATGATCAATTTATTCAAATAAATGTACGTAGACATGAACTGATATTTACCTATCTGTACAAGAGGCTCGACCGGTGAAATTGCTTCTATAATTTAAAAATAGAAAGAATTGCTAATTGATATATCTAAAGCTTGGAATTTAATAATCTTAAAATATTATAATAAAGAAATGAGCCAACTTGGACTCGATTGGGTCGAGTGTGACCATAACAAAGCTCAATTTGGGCGACACAATACGTTAAAGATGAATAAAAATTCTCAATTGGAAGGGATGTTCCTAAAGGGTCCAATGAATTCCTAATTGAAATTAGGAAATCTTTTTTAATTGATTCTTTTATCACACTGTAATATTTTACATCCTTAAACGGTCCCATTCGAGTACAATTAACTGCTGACAAAATTATCAACGATTGACATTCCTTATTTTTATTTAACAACGTATATATAGTTCCTTGAGGCCTCCATTTGGTCATAGATTTTGCTAAAAAAATTTCAATTTTTTTTTTTGGCAAAACCTGTTTGTTTATAGATTTTATCCATATTTTGACAGATTCAAGAAAACAAAATTTCTTAAATCCCAAAACTAGCTCTACACCTGTTTTTGGCTCAAAATATTATCTTTGAATTTTTTAATAATTTTAAAATTACTTCAAACTATTGTATTTTATAAAAAAATGCATCATCTATTATGACCCAACTAATCCACAAGCTAGTTACTATCATTTATTTTGATGGATGGATCTTGTAATTTTATTGCAATTTGATAAATTATAGTAGCTAGTAATTGCGTTATTAGCAGTTGATATTAAAATATCAGGTTATGGTTTTAGGATAGCGTATTATGTAGTTCATTATAAAAACGATGATTTTATGCCACACTTATCTATGTTTAGGACTATGGTATGTGAAAATGAAAATGAATGACATCGATGAAGATTCTGTATAGAGGATTAGCAAGTTTGTTTGTTTGGAATTGTCGGTGTGAGCACGTGATTTTTGTTTGGCGCGACAATCGCTCCAAAAGAATTAAAAAAAAAAAATAACAAATAGGTCCTGCTGTACAAATTTGGATTTTTATGGTACTTTGTTAATTATTTATAATTTTTGCCCATTTTTACTTTATTAAAACAAAATACAAAAAATGTACGTGCCATGCGTAATCTGAACCGTAACACGGTTGTTAAATAGAAAATCATAAACAGGCATCTTTGTCCGTGATTTTGTTTTGTTTGATTTTTACCTGTTTTGAATTATTTTAATGTGTGTGCAAATAATTGTATTAAGTGTTTATTTAATTTTAATTTGATTTTACTTAGTTTTGTTTTTTTTTCAAAAATAAAGAAGAAAAGGAAATAATAAAATAAAAAAAAAAGCCCTTTCTTTTTCGGACTTGGGCCAATTTTAACAAATTGGCCCAAACAAACAATGCCCAAAACCAGGCGTGCCCGGTCCAGTCCAAGTTGATACCCAGGGTGTCCAAACGACGCCGTTTTAATCCAGTCTGATCTGGGCCGTTGATCTCAGATTGATCAACGACCAAGATCACATTTCCCATACCCACGAACAAAACCCGACCCGTTCCACCCAGACCAACCCAAACCCCGTTTAGATGAAACGACACCGTCTCTTCTAAACCTTCAGATCCAAGCCGTTGATCTTGATTGATCCAACGGCTGAGATCAGCCCACCCATCCCATATATAACCTTCTAACCTTACCCTGCCCCCTATCCAATACCCCAGCTCCCGTCTTCACCTTCTTCCCCATCAAACCCTAGAGCCGCCCCTGTATCCTTCACCATGAAAGCCGGCGGCATGGACGCCGGTGACCCTACCCTTAACACCATAGATGCTCATCACCGTCCTGAACCCAAATCCACCGACCACACACCTCGAATCCCATCCCACCTTCTCGAATCTTCATTTGAAGATTCGAGTCAAAACTCGATCTATCCCGATCTGCCTTAAATTCATACCAGACACTCCCCAGACCCCCCTCGAGACCAAACCATGCTTGGTTTGGTCCGAATGTGATCAGGGAAGCATGAATCCCAAATCTGATTTTTGGAACCTTAGGGTTCCTCGACACTGGTCCATGTCCGTTCGAGCCAAAGAGATTAAGGTCTAATGGACCTTAATCGAAGTGTTTCTCATCTGAGAAACACTTCGATTAAAGTCCGTTCAGCCTTAAAAAAGGGTCTGTTCGAATCCAAGTAAGATTTTGATTTTTCAAGGTTTAAGGTGAGTTCTTTCTTTTCTTTATTTGTTTTGGTCCATCTGATTGTGGTAAAGGTCTGTTCATGTTTTGTTTGTGTCCCCGAATTTTATCAACTATGCCTTGTCCACTTTGCCTGAACCTTTGTTGTTTGATTGAGTGTCTTCTTCTACTTGTTCTGATAGTGTGTATGTATGTATTTGTTGTGCAATTAGTTGAATTCCAAATTTGTACTGATTAACTGATTCCTCGAGTACAATTCTATTTAGTCAGTACAATTCGAATCATGTGTCCTATACTTTTGAATGTCTGATTTTGGTGTCGATTGTATGTGTTATAACTAATATAGTCGAGTCGACATGTGTCGTCAATTAGTTTCAGCTACCTGCACAATAACAAATCGATTTACTTTTGATAAGCATGGCTTGAATCACTTAGGAACTGAGTTTAGTGTTTATAATTGGTAATCAGAAATGTAAAAATCAATGTTCTGTTTAGTCACAGTTCTGAAATTGGGGGGCATGTGCACTTATGCACAACATGGGCATTCTTTGTGAACAGCCTGAGCCTTGCCTCAAGACTTTTTGAATTAAATAGTTTGACAGCATGTGCTGTCAGACTACATCCTGCTGCCCACACCCTACTTTAGTTTCAGAAATAATAAACATTACTAAAGGTAAGCCTGCCAAGGGAATATCATGGGGTTTTGTCTAATATTAAATAGCTAAGTGGAACTGAAAAGGGGCAGCACATGGGAGGGTATTTTGATGGCCTAAACAGGCTGTTAAAGGGATGACTTTAGGCTTATAAAAGGAGGGGAAGATACAGATACACCTGGAGAGAGATACACACAAAAGGAAAGCTGAAACCAAACAGAATCAGTTTCTAAGTGAGAAAGAGAGTTTGTTTTGGAAAATAGGAGGGAGATTTAGGAAAGAAATTCTTGCTCGCCTAGAAAACACCACTTTTCCTCATCCTTTCGTGCCTGAAGTTCGATATCCAGTTTGGTTTGTTTCTATCAGATTTTAGGATTTTTCCTCTGAGTTTTGAAAAGGGTCAAATATTGAGTATTGTACCGCTGGTTTACTGCTTTGGTCTATTGGTCTGGGATTGCCATTGCTGCTGTACTGCTCTGTTGTTACTACCATTCTTGTGCTGTTACTGCTGACTCTTCTGCTTCCACTCCTTCTTTGCATTTCAGTATCCAGGTACACATTTCAAGTCCCACATTGGTGTAACTACAACAGTCTGAAAGTATGAAATGAAAAGTTGGAGAAGTTTAAATGTCTATTGTAATACTCATGGCATGTTGATTTCTTTCTATATAATTGATTAGTTTGTAAATTTCAATAGCAGGAAAAGATTAGTAGATGCTTAACTAAGTTCTAGTCTCTTGCGTTTTAGTTTATAGTTGTTCGTTGGTATGTGATTGTATAGTACACAGAATGAACGGGTAATTGACATAGCAAATGACCGGATTCCTGTTAGCTATAATGATATGCATACGATAGAGTACTTCCATTTTTTTTACACAATGATGTTCGGTTTCATTTTTTTTAGTTTTCCTTTATCAGAACCCGCTAGGCAGCATATAGAAGCGCGTTCGAATCCCCGTCAGTAATGAGACATAGTAGTTAATTCCCTTAATTCAGCCTAAATAAGTCTAGTTAAATTCAATTCAAGAAACGTTTGGACGCAAGTATAACATTGGGTCAGTCTCAAATGTAACTTCTTTGTCCAATTAAAGCATGTTTCACCAGTTATGACATCTCTCCACTTTGTAAATAATTAATCAGAAATTGATAAGAATCCGGATTAGGCANGGGTATTTTTAATAGTTTATAGAACTTCTGAGTATAAGTCACGTTTTATGTTTTTTTTTTAAAAAGTAAAATATATTTTGAAAAATAATGTCCAAACAGATTTTTATCTTCAAACTAAACTTCACCCAAATTGAATTTTTTAAAATAAATTTGAAAATCTATGGTCAAACGCTAGCGTAATGACTTGGGGTAGACTTCAAGGGGTTTTAAAATAATTGTTAGAAACTTCAAGGGGTGTAGCTGAAATAGTTCTACTTCAAACTCCGGAGCGAAAGAAAGGGGTTTTTAATTTCACATTACTTAATTCTCGAGAAGGCCAACAAGAAGAAGAGTATAGTTAAAAAAGGAGGGAAAATGCAAAACCCCTTATTAAACCCTAATTCACTCTCAAAATCTTCCTTTCTCCACAAATAGTCAAAAAGCCACACCCATAAGCTTGTCGAAAAGTTGCCGAATGATGATATAGCAGCAAAATAGCTATTTTTGGAATTATCAAATCATCAGTAAACTGTGAAAGGGTTTTGATTGTAAGGAAAAAGCCTTTTCACAGAGTAGTCTCAATGGCGAGGCTTCTTCGTACTGCCACTTCTCTCAGAACATATCTTTCGCCCCAACCGCAAGTGAGTTTTTATTTTTGTTTTTTAAGAAACCTATTTCCTTTTGCATTCATTTTTTTTGTTGTTGCAAAAGAGCATAAATTGGCCTAAGCTATTGCAGTTGTGGCTTTTTGCTCTTAAATATTTTGGTGCCAGTTGTGATGGGGAAATATTTCTAGAAGCTGGTTTGTTATTGTATTCAAACGGTGAAATACTCGACATTTGAACAACAATGTCTATTCGTTTTTTTATATGCAGTGTTTGAGAAGAAGCTTATTTGGGGCATTGGATCAGCTATGCTACTTTTCTTCTCGAGGTGTGTAAATTTGGGTTATAGTACTACTGCTGTACTTTAAAAAGATTTACTCAATTTGCACTTTGTTATAGTGATAATGAACTTGGTTTTGGAATTTCTTCCTATTCACATATTTTAATTTAATAAAATAATCTGTATTTACTATAAAATGTTATGTCTACTAGGAAAAATATATCAAATAAATTGTCACACTTTAATTTGAATAACTAGAATAGTAGACATGAAAGCTGTTAGTTGGGCTTTGATGCTTCGATTCCCACTTCAGTAGACCACCAGTGTGAAATCTGTGGAGGAAATGTATCATTTGCTGATATATTTCAAATAATTTCCGTTGTGTCCTGTTAAAAATGTGCTAAGGCTTATTTCTATTTAGACATTAAGCTGTCCTCTTTTGATGCTCATGGGTCCTAGTCTTCTATTCCTTTTCAGGTAAGAAAAAATCAAACTCAGACGGCAGTGATTCAGGTGAAGAGAATTTGTCCAAGAAAGACTTGGCTTTGAAACAAGCATTAGATCAGATCACTACATCATTTGGAAAGGGATCTATCATGTGGCTTGGTCGCACGGTGTCCCCAAAACAAGTTCCCGTGGTGTCTACTGGATCATTTTCTTTGGATACTGCCCTTGGGATAGGGGGGCTTCCTAAGGTAAAAAAAATAATAATGCCATCTCCTCCTGTTTTGGGCATTCCAAATATGGTGAATACAAATGGTGGTTTTAAACACTTAGATTCCAGATATTTTATGCTAACAATGTTCTGATATTCTTTGAGGAACTAGTAAAATTTATATTTATACCAAAGTTCTTTACGAATTTTTTGTTACTTTAGGCAGTTAAGTCACTACTTTTCTAGATATGTGAGAAACAAGCAGCTGCTGATCAATGTTAGGCCGACAGGTTATTTTCATATCTACAATAATACCTATTTATTGCTTTTATGCAGGGACGTGTAATAGAGATATATGGCCCAGAGGCTTCAGGAAAAACAACTCTTGCTCTGCATGTAATTGCTGAGGCACAGAGACAGGGAGGTTTGTCTATTTTGTACTTCACAGCCATGCATTCTCATTTTCCACTTGCAACATCTATTAGGACTATGAAATCGAAAAAAAGACCTGAGAGCAGAAACTATGGGCATCTTGTCCCCAGAATATCATTTGTGACTTGGCTCTATTTTGTTAAAGCAAAAGATAAGATTTTTTTTACTAAAGTAGAAAGAGGAGGAGAAGTTGATCTAAATGAAAGTTACTTTATTGAACCAGAGCTTTTCAAATTCTTTCGGAATAAGTTGACACGGTTTGAGCTTTGAGGAAGAGACCACAGATGCACCACACAGAGGACCGGATGATACTCTATCTATCTTACACATGGTGTAATAAAATAAATCATCAGATTGTTTTGTTTTGTGCACTAACTACATACACATATGGTAGCCAAGAAAGCACCAGATAAGAATAACCTATCTTAAATATGATATCAGCTCTTTCCCTTAATGAATCTGTTTGGAGTTCTAGGCGTCCTGGTGCTTTTTCTTTCATTGAGGAGAGGCTCAAGAATTCCTCTTGAGACGAACAGGATATATGCATTTTTAGCTTATTACAACTGACACATGAATTACTTATGCTTCTTGTTTCTTTGTAGGTTATTGTTGCTTCGTTGATGCTGAGCATGCTCTTAATCCGGCATTGGCTGAGACCATTGGAGTAAATACTGAAAACTTACTTCTGTCTCAACCAGATTGTGGTGAGCAAGCTCTTAGTCTGGTGGATACAATTATAAGGAGTGGTTCGGTTGATGTTGTTGTTGTGGACAGTGTAAGGCAGCTTAAAACTGTTGTGCATTCTTCTAGTTCTGTTACTTTCATGATCATCTGATTCAGAGTCAATTATATTAATACTCTTCACTTATCAAAAACTTCTTTTGACAATTGACGTCCATGGCAGGTGGCTGCCCTTGTCCCGAAAGGTGAGCTTGAAGGTGAGATGGGAGATGCTCATATGGCAATGCAAGCTAGACTGATGAGTCAAGCACTCCGCAAGCTGAGTCATTCTTTATCACTATCACAGACCATTTTAATCTTCATAAATCAGGCAAGAGCCTTAGGCTTCCTAGGTTCATATCATGCTTCGTGCCCTCATCTTTCCTTTATTCTGTTGCTGGGTCGGAGTTAAGAGATATTTCAGTGGGGTTAAATTGCATATTTGGGTTACTGTATTTCCCTGTGTATTTTCCATTTGACATGCAAAATATCTAGTCTGTCTAATAATCTTTTCTGATTAATTACACCCTGGTTCAGGTCAGGTCAAAGCTATCAACTTTTGGGGGATTTGGAGGTCCTACTGAAGTTACTTGTGGTGGTAATGCCTTGAAGTTCTATGCTTCTGTGCGTCTAAACATAAAGCGAATTGGGCTCGTCAAGAAGGGGGAAGAGGTATGAATCTCAGTTCAAGATGTTAGAGTTTCAATATTTTGTGCGCATATCCAATTTATTTAAGAGTATATACAAATTGAGACTGCAGGGCCACCTGAAACATTACTTGATAGACAGTGGTGGCCTTTTACTTTTTTTCTTCTTCTTCTTGAAATATGATTGCTAAAATTGCGTATGAGAGTGGAATCTGTTTTGTGAATTTGGCTTTTCTTATTTCCAACTTTCACAGATGTATTGTTTTACATTTTAGTATTCAGCTTCAAGTGTTCCCATCCTTAATGTAAACAGGCACAAGTTTACATTTTATTATTATGAATACTCTCTTCCTTTCTTTGGGAAAGCAGTTTGTTCTTTTGGTTTCAAAATTAGTTTGTGAGATCTTGCAGTCCTTACTACTGCTTCGCTCCCTCTTCTAATGGTAACTTCCTGTTTCATTTGTGTAGGAGAGAGATTGTATTTGGATGCATTTGCCTGTCTAAGAAGTTAGATAGATGTACATGTATATTATGGAAAAAAGGGGGGGGGGGGGGGTCATATTCTTATGGGCCTACGGCACTTGTTATTTTATATACATCCTTGTCTGGAATCCATGTATAAAGCTCTTATGCAAGCATAGTATTATGAAACTATAGCTGTATCCTCAGTCGCTCTTCTGTTATGATTTCTGCATTGAGTGAATGTGAGGGACTTGAACTGTACAAAATCTGATTGTACTGGCAGTTTTTTTTTTTTTTATAAGTGTCTATTTTACAGACCATAGGAAGTCAAGTTCTTGTCAAGATTGTAAAGAACAAACATGCTCCTCCATTTAGAACTGCAGAGTTTGAGCTTGAGTTTGGTAAGGGAATTTCCCGTGAAGCTGAACTCATTGACTTGGGAGTCAAACATAAGCTCATCACAAAGGGTGGTGGTGGTTATTACAGTATCAACAATCAGAGCCTTCGTGGTAGAGATGCTGTAAAACATTTCCTAGCTGAGAATGATAGCGTAAGGGAAGATCTTATGATGAAACTTAGAGAAAAGCTTTGGGACCATGGGGACAAAGAAAAGGGTTCTGATGTGGAGTCTATACATGTAGACCCTGTCGAGGAGGCTGTTTTGAACGATACAACTGATGAAGATGCTGCAACTGCAGTTGAGGCATAAAGGTTCGTCAAATGAAACTGCTGGCTTCCTGTCCATATCAGTATGCTGGTTGAGTCATGGGCAAAAATTGGTATTTGTGGAGCATCCTTGGTTTATCATCATTTGTAATCTGCTCTTGTACTTAATGAAGTATCCAAACCATGGCTTTGTAAGTTTTGTCCACATGTAATTCTGATCGCGTAGTTCATGGAAACTACTTAATTAGAGAAAGTGAGGGGCCAGAGCCTAGTTCAATTTTTTCAAATAACCTCAATTGCGGTTATCAGTTGGTCACCTTCCAATGTATGCTAAAATTCTCTTGTACATAACAGTGATTATTCAGAGAGAATCTGTATCCAAACTTTATGTTAGTAAAGCTAAGCTTTTTGTGATTGAAGCCTTGATCTGGGAACAGCAGGGATCCGTTTTATCTGAATATTCAGCCATATAGTGTGGCAAGAAAACGTTTTACAAAATCTTCGCTTTTGCCACAAGATTTAATATTCTTTTAGCCTGTGTTCATGCATTCTTATGGTTTTCCTTTATCATATTGTAGAAGAGGATTTCCCTGACGCATCTGTTGCCGCCCTCAGTCTTTACTTTGTATAAAAGTTTTCTTTATTTAGGTTAGCCATATCTATTGAACCAGTATCAATTTTATTGGATTGCACCTGATCTCTTCTATATTTGAAGCATTGTCCATTGCTTAATTGAAAGGTTAGTCGAACAGGATAGAAATGGTCCTGGTCGTTGGCTTTGGCGGTTTGGGCCATGCCAAACAATTCGGCAGTTAATTTAAATTTTGTTCTCTATGATGTCACGTGAAAGTATCCTCTTTATTCAGACAGTCTTTACAGTATCTGTTTCTACCAATCCTTAAAGAACCAAAATACTTCTTAGGATCTTTTCATGTGTTTTTAAAATTATTTTTTGTTGGAGTTGCATTTGCACCAGTTTATGCATACTTCGATTACTCGACTGGATACTTGATACTTTACCAATACACAGTTATCATTTGAATAAGAAATGTCCAAATGCCGGTAGTCACCAAGTCCTGACATCTCAACTTCTAATAGTATACCTGTTTTTATTATTTAATTATTTGTTTAATCACCAAATGAATTTATATTTCGTTTTCTTTATAGAGTGAAATGTGGAGAGAATCTATCTATTATTAAAGGGAAAGATGCCAGCCATAAGAATTTGTCAAGTGTCGCTGGAAGAAAATGCCATGTGGTAATTTTAGGACAAAATTAGTTCATTTAGGTAAAGTTAATTTACTTTTTTAAATCTGAATTTTGAAATAAGAAAATATCTATATTTTTCCAAGGAACAATAATTTTGAAATTATATTCTGAAACCAACACATAGTATAACTTCTCCTAGCGCGTCTTTAACCAAAAAATATCAATTCCTACAGATTCGCCACTTCATTCCCACGATGGGTCTTCATTCTCACGATTTTTAACTCCTAACCCACCAACTCTTCTGAGGTGGATTCTTAGTAACATGTTCACTGACTTTTGAAATCAGTTTCTACTTTTATAATTAATAATTCTTTCTCCCTTGTACGCATATCAATCATGAATTCAGGATAGAAGTTATTCTGTCTTTTTATTATAAGTTCACTACACCATGTTATCATAGATGAGTAGCTACATTAGAAGCATATTATTTCTCTCCTATTGATTGATGCTGCTTTGTTTTATATGCGTTTATGAAAATATATTTGCTTTGTCGTCGACGCGGCCACAACCGAATAGCTTATATAAGTTTTAATTTAAATACAATTCCTAATTAGTAGTAGCAGTTATAGGTCTATCTGTTGTGGGGATACAAGTCATTCTTTGGCTAACTACCCTTATCTGTTTCACAAGTAATTTTTCACTTTTGGTTCTTTTCGCTTCTTTCTTTTATGTTTTAATTTGTTCAACAAAATTAGAAGCACACTACTAAGAATTGTGCTACAAAATCAAACCTTTCATCTATCATACAACAATAAATTGTATTCTGCATTAAGTTGAGTAACAAAAGACTTTGTTGAAATATTTTTTGAGGTTTAGGAGCGTGATCAGAATTTGATTTTGGAGGTCCGAAGTAGAGCTAGGCTTGAATTGGCGAAGGTGAGATTTTGGTGATTTCCAGTTGGTAGGTGAGATTTTGATCTGGGAGTCGGAATGGAATTCCGAGAGTTGCAGTAGCTTCGTTATGTCATTTGGGATGTGTGTGCAAAATTTCAGGTCATTCAGACGTGGTTTGGTTGGGTTTTTGATCGAAAACGTATTTCGGAAGTTTTTAGAAAACTTAGGCTTGAATTCGATGAGTTTCGCGTAACTTGATGTTGTTTGAGGTGTTTTGATGATTGGAACAAGTTTGAATGATGTTATGGGTTATGTTGGTAGGTTTGGTTGAGGTCCCGAGGGCCTCGGGTGTGTTTCGGGAGGTTAAACGGATCAATTTCATGTTTTGAGAACTTCAGAAATTGCAGGTTTCAGTTGCAACATTTTGGCCTTCGCGTTCGCGAAGGGGATATCGCGTTCGCGAAGGGTCGAGGTTCGTAAGCATCGCGTTCACGAGGGTCCATGCTGCGTTCGCGAAGGTTTGTGAGAAGACTGCATCGCGTTCGCGAGGGTGTATACATGATCGCATAGGAGGAATTAGGTCTGATGGTCAGTTAGTCATCGCGTCCACAATATAGCAAACACGTTCGCGAAGGTCAAGGCTATGGAAGCACTGCGTTCACGACTGGCATGTCGCGTTCGCATAGGGTAAAGTTGGTCAACGCAATTTTTGTGCTATGCGTTCGCGGGTGTTGACCGCGTTCATGAAGAAGGTAAGTCAGGCCTGGGCAGAATGTTTTTAAGTCGTCTTGTCCACGATTTTGGGTCTATTTTCACCCATGACTGCTCGTTTTTTGGAGATTTTTGAAGGAAATTAAAGAGGGATTCAAGAGGAATCGACTTGAGGTAAGAATCTTGGTCTTAAAACTCGATTATATTGTGAAATCCACCTAGAAATTTCATGGAAAACTAAGCCTAAAATTGAAGAACTAGGGCTTGAGAAATTGGACTTTTGATTTGGGATTTGAAGGACCATTTGGGGTCGAATTTGAGAAATTTTGATATGTATGAACTCGTGAGGAGATAAGGAATCTAATGATGTAAAAATTTCTGAGTTTCGAGAAGTGGGCCCGGGGCTCGGGTTTTGGTAATTTCGGGATTTGTGCCCGATATTGATTGTTTTCGCTTGGGCTTTATTTACCTAGCATATTGTGATGTATTCGTTCTGATTTTGGATAGATTCGACGCGCATGGACGCCGATTTGAGGGGCAAAGGCGTCGCGAGCTAGGGATTTCGTCGGTTCGAGGTGAGTAATGATTGTAAATGATACTCTGAGGGTTTGAAACCCTAGATTGCATATCGTAGTGCTATATTGAGGTGAGACACGCGCTTGATGATGAGCTTGGGGTCGTTTACTATTGGGGATTGTTACTTGGTCCATCCCGATTGATGATTTTACCGCGTATTTAACTGAAACTTATTTGTTATCATCATGATTTGGGCTGATCGCCATATTTGGGCTTCGTGCCAACTATCTGAACCCTTCGGGGATTTTTATTAGTATTTCCTCACTGTTTTTGAATTATTACTTGAACTCAGTCCTGTTGATATCTACTGTTTTACAAACTCAGACACTTTTACTCAGATTTGAAACTTAAATGATATTTCTAAATGATGTTTTGGGTTGAGAACTACTGTTTTACTAATGCCTGAGGGGCTTGTGATGATTTTCGGACTGAGTGAGGCCGAGGGCCATATGTGAGGATATACTGAGTGATATGAGGCCGAGGGCCTGAGATACTTTTATACGCCACGAGGTGGCTTGGGTGATACGAGGCCGAGGGCCTAGATTTGATGCCACGAGATGGGTTGATATTGTGCTTGGGCCGTAAGGGGCCCCTCCCGGAGTCTGCACACCCCCAGTGAGTGCGGGTACCCATTGTGATCACAGAGTGAGCCCGAGGGGCAGAGAGTGTTCTGAGAGTGAGCGCGAGGGGCTGGTACTGTTCTATGTATTTACTTTATTTCCATTTGCCTGCCATTACCTGTTAATTGTGTTACTTTATGTGTTATCTTCCTGATTGCCTGGCATTACCTGTTAAATTGAGTATTGAAGGGGCGGATTTCTGTGCTTATCTGCACTAATTGTTTGCATTCATTTGCATAACTATTGAATAAACCATTTTCAAAAGAGGTTTAAACTGAGCTAAGATATTTCTAAAGATTTCACAGTTTAACTGTTTTTCTTAAGGGGTTTACACCACTTCTATACAACATTTTGGTTTGCTTATGATTTCTTACTGCTCAGTTGTTATTTACCGTTATTACTCATTGAGTTGGAGTACTCACTTTACTCCTTGCACCTCGTATGCAGATGCAGGTATTTATTCACCCGGTAGCGGGTGTTGATCTTATCGGAGGCTGAGTCATCGGGGTTTAGCAAGGTGGCTGCCAGCGTTCGCAGCACCGCTCTTCTCCCTTCTCTTTCATCAGTCCTGTTTTGTACATTCAGACCTTGTAGTCGTATTTATACTCTAATAGATGCTCGTGACTTGTGACACCTCGGTTTGGGCTGTGTTGGGATGGTTTCTACTGTTGTTACCGTTGTTTTCACAAATTATGGTTATTATATCATGTTTTAGAACTATTTATGGTATTTAACTGTTTAAAAGAGGGGTTCTGTTTTGGTATGGTTGACCTTGTCTTCACGAGAGGCATCATCACGATCGGGTTCGGGGTTAGGGTCGTGACATTATAATACCTATAATCTGCAAATTCGTTGTTCTAAAACAACAGCACTGCCTGTACGCTTGAAATCAAAATCACATAGAAGCCATGTCTATAAGACTTAATGACTCTAACTCGTCTCAATTCTGAAATTGTCTACTTCCTATACATGATGTAAGAATCTGCCCGCACGTATTTGTTGCTTATATGTGGAGGCTAACTTGAGTCATTTATTGTTTTTATGTGTAATCCTACATATTTTGAATATCGCTTAGTTTTTATAATTTTTGAGCAAGCTAAGTAAGTCTAGAACCACCCAAATAGAGGTCCAAAGCCTCTTGGACCATAGGCATGAGACGGGTAATGCACGCATAGAGTACGATTTAGAATTGAACTAGAGCACCTTTAAGTAAACAACTTTAACATAGTAATTGGGTAGCAGGAGATGATAGTCTATGCCCGCTGAATAAATGAGTAACTCCCTATCTTAAGGGAGTTGCGAAGTATTATTTATGTTGCACGGGGTGATCCTTTAGGCTAAAAAACTTGGGACCCTCCTCCCCCCTCTCTCCTTTCCTTTATGAATTTTTGATCCACACTTAGTCATTC